ATTTTCTCATTTTACAAGGAATCTTCCTAGGCACAGCTTCAAATATAAGAGAAATAATACTCGGTCTTGTAAGCATTTTTAATTTCACATCATTTATCTCCATTATCATTTGTTTTAAAATCTCTAGTAACAAAAATCCTTGGAAAGTGGCCCTTTTATTTCTTTAATAGTGGGCAGGAAATGACAGACTGGCTATATCCTGTTTGCTTCAGCACTTGCAGGCACAAAAACTGCACAAGGCCAGGTGTGGTGGCACATACCTATAATCCCAACACTCATAGGTGGATTTCTGTGAGTTCAAGGTCAACCTTGTCTACAGAGTGAGTTCCAGTACCACAGAGAGACCCTGTCTCAAACAAACAAAAAAAAAAGAAAGAAAAAAAAAAAGAAAAAGAAAAAAAGGCTGCACACAGTGTGACAGTTTCAGAGTTTCAGAGGCCTAGCCTAGCCAAGGTGCCACTTTCTGGTGCTTTACTTACCACAGTCAAGTGAGTACAGGACAGGACAGTGGCATGAGGACAGGAGCACACATTCACTTGGTCTTTATCACTGTGGAGTCTCCTGCTGTGCTTACATTCATGCTTTAGTCCTAACCCTAATTTCAGACATGTACTCGGGGATCTCGGAACATATCCCAGCAGATAAGGGAGTGCTGCTGTAAATCCATTCCTAGACCACAGTCTACAGAACTTTCCAAAGTTAGGTCACAACTTAGGGGTCAAATAAAGGCAAGAACATTTTGATTCCCAGCACTAAGGCATCGTACAGCTCCAGCACAGCACCGCAAAACTATCCTGTCAGCAAGAAACCAAAAGGAAGAGGCAGAAACTGCCCCACAGCTAAGAGATGGTCTTGTGCTAGGGAGATGTGTCTCAGCTGTGCAAGCATTAGGACTGGGCTGCAATACCCAGCAGTCAGGGAAAGCAGGCACAGTGGTGCGCATCTAATCCCAGTGCTCACATGAGGAAATGGGGCAGAGACAGAAGAATCCTGGAAGCTTGGGCAGGAGACCCTGCCTCAAACAAGGTAGAAGGTAAATGCCAACACCAGGGAAGCCTTCTAACTTCCACATACACGAGAGAGAGAGAGAGAGAGAGAGAGAGAGAGAGAGAGAGAGAGAGAG